CCCCAAAACCCCAAAACCCCAAAACCCCAAAACCCCTTGAAATCCAATTTGAGAAATCTAAGAATTATTAACAATAATGAGTGCTTAAAACTAATTAATATCTAATTCTGATAGCTATCGATCCCATTTTTATAGCTTTCACATTTGTTTCAATTCTCATCATCATCCTCGTCGAAGTTCATCTCTTCTACTTCCTTTTATGACTTCATCTTCTGCATTTGGAGGTTATAGTCTTAGTAGAGTTTATTTTCTGACAAATTTGTTTAGTTTGCTTAAATATTCTAAGCAAAGGAGGATGCGTTAGTATTGACTTAGGTATCTGGCTGAATTCCGTTTTAATGTTGCATTTATAGCTGAAATTGCTACTATTAGAACTACTCGTACTAGAATATCTGCTATCTTTGATTTTCTTCATACATTGTCTGAGCATATTATAATTACTCCTCTGTCATGCCTGCATACTATCCAACCCCAGGTCCGGCATTTCCTTAATAGTCAGCACCATTTTCTCCTTCGTCATCATCATAATCGTAATCTATAGCTTTCTAAAATAATCTCTTCTGTTCAGCAATCATCTCCTCCTCAGTCATTCCATTATCGAAGCCGCCTTTTCCTCCTCGCTTCTTCTTTTTTTTTCCGCCCTGATTTCCCATCATTTTTTAGCTAATAATGTCCTTAGTTTATTTTTCATTCAATGATACTTCATTGCCCTCGTCTATACCTAGCTGAAGGATTTGTGAGAGATATGTGTCCATTTTCAGGTCCTAAATAAATACTTAGCGAGATAATTATCGAGTTTACTTTGAGGGCTTTTGCGACATGAGATGGTGTTATTGTTTTCTTACCCTCCTCATTGCAGACATTATTCGACATATCAGATATGTAATGTAAAAAGTTCATTGAGAGCTGAATGATTAAATCAGATGACTAGCAAGACATCCTTGTATCATTTGGCAGCATCTCTTTTATAATCTGAGTCAGAGTTGCTATAATATATAGTGATTAATCGCAAATTCGAAAGAATATGTAAGTGAAATTGAGTATTCAGGAACTTACCTCTTGGCAAAGTATATTCATCGTTTTCAGCAGGCTGGAAAATACTTGTTGATTAATTTGGGTTTGATTTAGACTTAGCTAACGACATGTCAAACTTCTAATTCATCATATTCATGTTAAAGGGATCCATCCTTATATTTGGTATTTTACTTCATATTAATTTAAGTCATTTATATATTCATGTATTATTGATGAGAGCAATGATTGCCACAAGCGCAATAATTGATCAAATTAAATCTATTTCCTAATTCAGCTCAGTATTATACACATGGGGTTTTGGGGTTTTGGGGTTTTGGGGTTTTGGG